ACACTAATTTTGAGACCAGTGCTGGTGGATAGGATCTAAGTGGCACAACTGTTTGATCTTCAGATTCAGAAATTGAAGACTGGGGTGAAGATTGATTTTATTATTGATAGTGCCGATGTTTTGTTACTTGGTTCTCGGTTATGTGTACCAAATGATGCAGGGTTAAAAAGAGAGATTCTGGAGGAAGCACACAGTTAAGCATATGCTATGCATCCAGGTAGTACAAAGTTGTATCATGACCTGAGAGAGCATTATTGGTGGCCTGAAATAAAATGAGAGATAATTGAGTTTGTGGCTCGATGTTTGATATGTCAGCAGGTGAAGGCTGAGCATCAGAGACCAGTCGGGTTATTACAGTCTCTACTGATTCCAGAATGAAAATGGGAACATATCCCTATGGATTTTGTGAGTAGTTTGCCTTTATACGCAGAAATGATATGAAGCCATTTGGGTGATAGTTGATAGGTTGACGAAGTCTGCTCATTTTCTAGCGCTATTAAGATGTCATATTCTCTTGGCAGGCTAGCTAGATTGTACATTGATGAAATTTTGAGACTGCATGGTGTACTTGTATCTATTGTCTCTAATAGAGATCCACGTTTTACGCTAAGGTTTTGGCCTAGCTTGCAAACTACTTTGGGTACTACTTTAAAGTTTAGTACAACATTTCACCCACAAACTGATGGATAGACGGAGCATACTAATCAAAAATTGAACGACATGCTAAGAGCTTATGTGATGGACCTTAGAGAAAACTGGGATAATTATTTGCCTTTGATTGAATTTGCTTATAATAACAACTACCAGAGTTCAATTGAGATGGCACCATATAAAGTTTTGTATGGGAAGAGGTGTAGAACCCTAATGTGTTGGAGTGAAGTGGGTGAGAGGAAGTTATTGGGTCCAGAGATTGTGCAAATGACTACTGATTAGATTAAAGTTATACAGGAAAGATTACGAAGCGCACAGAGCAGGCAAAAAAGTTATGCTGACGATCACCGACGTGACTTAGAATTCGAGGTGGGTGATCAAGTATTTTTACGAGTATCACCTTGGAAAAGGGTCATTCGTTTTGGCAGAAAAAGGAAGTTAGCTCCCATGTATATTGGTTCGTACAGTATTTTAGAGCGGATTGGAACTGTTGCATACCGATTGAAGATAACAGTGGAGTTGTCCAGGTTGCATGATGTATTTCATGTTTCTATGCTACGAAAATCCTTGTTTGACCCATCACATGTGTTGACTTCAGAATCGATGGAATTAGTCGAGGATTTGACTTATATAGAGCAGGCAGTTCAGATTTTAGATAGAAATGAGAAAATATTACGTACGAAGACGATACATTTGGTAAAGATTTTGTGGCGTAGTCACTCAGTAGAGGAAGCAACCTGGGAGATTGAGGAGAGTATGCGGACTCAATATCCACATTTATTTAGTGCAGGTAAGTAATTTCGAGGACGAATTTTTTATTAGTAGGGGAGAGTTATGAGACTCAATCATGCATTGCATACATATTAGCATAATTATGTGAAAAAATTGCAATTATGTGAAATTATTTATTAGATGGAATTTTATGTACGAAAATAGTATTTGGTTGATTTTGAAATCACTTAAGAATTTGGAGAGAGGCAAGCATAATTATTGAATTTGCATGCAACACCTTTACATGTGTTAGCATATGAAAAAAAATGGGTCATGTGGACTGCTAAGTGGGTGGTTGTGTGCGTGCCAAGTGCGAGTGTGTGTGTGTGTTTTGAGGTGCAAGGGAGTGTGTGTGTGTGTAATAAATGGTGTAGAAAAATGTGTGTGTTTAATTTATAAAACAGTGTGTGTGTGTGTGTGTTCTTGCCTGCTGGAAGCCGAGAGTGAGGGAGAGTAAAGGAGAAAGGAGAAAAAGGTATATGGGTGAGTGTCCATTTGAACCGTGAGTAAGGAAGGTATGTGAGACTCAATTTAAGTATAAGTTGTGATTAATTATAGTATATATGTATTTGTATATGTGTGGGTTGTTTTAACATGTTTTAAATTACTGACTATTTTAATTTAATTCATGGAATGTTTTGGTTAATTTTAATGGATTGTATTAGTTTAATTTCAAAACATATTTTTGTGAGTTTAAATTAAGTGTCTTAAACATAAATTGTGGGCTATTTTGTGTTAAATTAATAGGCTATTTTATTTTAAATTTAAAATAGATTTTATTAAGGGTGTTAAACAAAATTTAGGGGCTATTAAGAATAGGTGTTAAATGAGTATTCAATCGAGTGGACGAAAAGTGTGGAAATGACCATTTTAGGTATTCGAGAAGCATTTAGTGGGCTAGGTAGAAACCGAAATTATGGAAGTGAAATGGGTGGTTTAAAGGTTCAATTAGGGGTTGTTTTACATTGATTAAACGTGTATGAGAATTTAAGTGTAGTAGTGTTAAAAGAAAAGAGTGATAGAGGTTGAAAAATGGTACCGATAATGCCGAAACTCTGATTTCTAAATGTTATTATCACATGTGTGAATTTAAATCCAAATGACCCAAAATTTTGCAAGCAACCTTTTTAAATGATGCTTGATATGATAATGTGACTTTCGAATGCAAATGAGTATAATATCCAGTGCTAAATGTATGAAATGTCAAAAGTGCAGTTTTTAGAATTCGGGATCAAAATGTGTGAAAATAGGCTCCTGGTCAATGTGTTTGACCTACTTAATCGCAATTATGATTAATGTGAGTGATTTTAGAAATTTGGGGAGGAAATGCGATCCCTATAATAAAAATGCTAATGTGCGAGTAGATAGTGCGGTAATCGGAGTTACCAGGGCACTTTGGGTGCATCATTTTTGCATGCATTAGTGCATAATTAACTATTAAGTGTGATAAACATATTGATATTGTAATAACACATATGTTAGGTGAAACAGGTGAGACAGTCGGTATCAAAACAAATACAGTAACACCGAAAGGATTCACCGATAGAACCGAAAGGCTGTAGATATGTATATTTGAGGTGGGTGTACATCTCTTTATATGTTTTGTAAATGTTATTATAAGATGATAGTAAATAATAGAATTTAATAGCAATTCTCCAGGATTATATGCTACATGTTTATGTGATTGAATGATGCTTTGTACAATGTATCATGTATTGTGGAATGTGGCGCATTGTTTGAGACAGAGATCTCGATGCTTGATCACTAGGCGTACAATGGTGTGCTAGCACTGTGGTGTTCTCGGGAGATACACGGATCCATGTGGGATCGATTACCCAATGAGGGGTAGTATAGATGTGATGTGGCTTGTAAATTTATTAGAATTGGATTAATGTTGTTGTTTGATGCGTGTATCTACGTAATATCTAACTACTTCAGTGTATTACTATCATTTTCATTTCATATACAACATAAATACTCACTGAGCGCGTAGTTTAACTCACACCCCTATAGCTTCTCTTTTCTGGTACTATAGATGAAGATGCAGATCAGTCTACTGTCCAGTCGATTGAGTATTGTACAATGTTAGTGTGATATCACTCAGGTTGAGTGTTGGTATGACCAATTGTTGGGTTGTATATGATATTTTTGAGGGATTATTATGCTAGGTTATTAGTATATATTTGTAAACAGACTCAACAAGCATACCTTGTGATGTATGCTATGTGAGTGTGAGATTTTTTATATGGTTATAACCTGCGTAACAAACAATTGGTACAAGTGTTTTATATATAGTACAGATTATGAGATAAGTTTTACCATCATACTTAATGACTAAGGTAATGGACGGTCGAGCTGAAGAGAGTCAATATGAAAAGCTATAATTGAATTCTATCAGTGGACCCCACTAAGTTGCTCTATCAGCCACCGTTGGATCTTCTGATTATTTTAAAGCAAAGACTTGGAAAAGTCAGATGGTGGAGACGAAGTGGTGCTTCCTAATTTTCAGGCGAATAAATAACGCAAGCACCACGATTCCCGGACGAAGGTTCTGATCTGAACAACGTGGTATTAAAGTATTCTGATCAACTTCCTCAGTGAGAGTGGGAAAATATAACCACTCTCGTTAGGGTTTAAGTCTTTTTTTAAATTATTTATTTTATAAATGAGTGATTAATAATGAATCAAGTATACGTGAAAATCAATTAAATGAAATACATAATATGATTCATTTATATACAAGTTATATATGACTGATACACGACACAAATTTAATATGATACAACCCATTAAATACAAATTAATAAATAAATTGAGTATTAATGAAGTATTTTTTTGACACGAACTGCTTGATTTATTTATTTTTTTGTTGTTTTTTATAGGTGATACTGAGAAATTTTGTGTTGAAAAAAGGAAAACAAAAACACTTTTAATTTTGAAGCATCAATTATCAATGGAATAATTTGTCAACATATTTATCAATTTATGATACTTTTAAACTTATTTATCAAATTATAAAAAAATTTTAAAAAATAGATTTAAAAACTGGGGTCAACAAACTCGCTTTTAAGGTACATCTCTTTAAATACAACACTTGTTCAACAATTATATTTATAAACTGAAAATTTTCAAGTAATAGAATGTCTCACATTAATCTTTGACTAGATAAATGACATTCTAAACACAACAAATATATAAGTTTCAAACGATTCCCCAATCATCATAGTTAGCGTGTGCACGGGCAAGCACGCGCGTGTTTGTGTGTGTGAGAGATGGGATTACTCAATAAAATTCTTCATTTTATTCTTCCAAAAATAAAGGAAGAAAAATCCGCAATGAACTTGTTGATTCTATTTGTAGACAAATTGAAAACTAGCTCCTCCTTCTCTTCTCTTTCCACCTTCCTCCCACCCACCCTATTCTCCACAAGAACATGTTTAAAAAAAAAAAATGAAACAAAAGCAAATGAAAATTGAAAAAAAAAAATCATAAGAAAAAAGAAAATGACGTATTTAGTGGAGAAAAGAATGCGCATAAGCCAATCCCGCAGGCTCAATAACAATTTTAGGCTTCAATCTTCATCTAGGGGTCAACTGAGTGATACTGACAGGGACAGAGCTCATCTGATAGGTTGTAGAGCTTTCATTTGACTTTTTATCCGATGGTTCCCCACTAGTGCCACCTGAATCCTGGAAGAAGCCGGGGGGTGTGAGTTGCTTCTCATTGAGCTTTACGTTTCTTGAAAGCATGTCAACAACTTGGCTCATCATTGGCCTCCGACTTGCAGTTGCTTGTGTGCAGAAAAACGCAACTTTCATGTACTTGATAATGACTTCAGGAGGATATTCCTCCATTTCTGGATCCACTGCCTCTAAAAGTTTCCCTTCTTCATAGAGCTGCCATGCCTGTTGAAGCAGACCATATGTTTGACAGGAATAAGTTATCTAATGCACCATAGAACCAAGTTGCGAGAATTTAATTAAGAAAAAGGTCAGTAGCCAGATAACTAGCAAATCACCGAAGCTTATTTCTGTTATTAAGGAGGGTCAACTGCAAAAAATTTGTCGGCCTCACCAGAACAACTGAACATCAGTTCATTAAAGAACTAATTTGTATCTCATCAAGTCTGTTTACCAGAGAAAGAAATCATACGCTTAAATCCAAGAATATGAAATTTCAAGTAATTGGCATTCCAGACTTCCAACTAATTCTTTAACAACAAAAGGCTATTTTGATAGCACAAACATGATTGTCAGTTTCTAACTAATGTAGCGTTTGATAATGCTTTTTTAATGTAATTGTATCCAAGCAAAAAATAAAAACTTTGTTAAAGAAACAAAACCAAGTGTGATCACCATCTTGTAAGTGAGTTATGTGCATATGTATCCTATTGTGCATGCATCTAAGATTGGACGAAAAGATCACATCTAGACGAGGAATAAGCAAAAAATGCAAAACAAATGTTACTGAAAAATTATTTTAAAAACCAAAAGTACATAAAAATAGTTTTCAAATGCTAAATAAATAATGACAAGAAAAAATACATAGAAGACACTAACAAGTGACGATAAAGTAAAGAATATAAGAGATTGCTACACACAAGAGAAAAAAAAGTACATAGAAGACTGCAATATATTGATAAGCAGAACAGCAGTAGAGATCTAA